GGTCAGGTAGGTACCTGTGAGGTTAGTTTAGGGTCAGGTAGGTACCTGTGAGGTTAGTTTAGGGTCAGGTAGGTACCTGTGAGGTCAGTTTAGGGTCAGGTAGATACCTGTGAGGTTAGTTTAGGGTCAGAGAGGTTACCTGTGAGGTCAGTTTAGGGTCAGGTAGATACCTGTGAGGTTAGTTTAGGGTCAGAGAGGTTACCTGTGAGGTTAGTTTAGGGTCAGGTAGGTACCTGTGAGGTTAGTTTAGGGTCAGGTAGGTACCTGTGAGGTTAGTTTAGGGTCAGGTAGGTACCTGTGAGGTTAGTTTAGGGTCAGGTAGGTACCTGTGAGGTTAGTTTAGGGTCAGGTAGGTACCTGTGAGGTTAGTTTAGGGTCAGGTAGGTACCTGTGAGGTTAGTGTTAGGGTAAATGAATGGAAGTCAATGTAAAGTCCCCATAAGGACAGAAGAACAAACGTGTGTGTGTTACCTTGTCGTACTGCTCGTCTGTAGGGTTGTGTTTCTGCAGCCAGTCGGCCAGCGTTCGATCTTTGAACGATCCTGTGACTCCATGTTCCACCTGGATCTTCCTGAGCGTGTCAGCATGAGGAATCATCTCTACCATACCTGGGGACAGGTGAGACAGAACTAACAGTCTCACCTGAGAACAGCTACCTGTGCTACAGGTGTGTTCACCTGGTGTAAGTCTGTGACAGGCACTGTGTGCACCAGGTGGACACAGCTGAACAGGTGTCTCACCTCGTCCTCTGCCTGTGGAGAAACACTTGAAGATGACCATCCTCATGTCCAGACCTTCCTGGATCCAGATCTTGTTCATGATGCGGATCATCTGCAGGGTCAGCATGTCCTGCCGCAGGTCGTCTCCTGACTGGACACGGACAGAACCGTTAGTTCTGACAGGTCACCAAGTGTCACATGAGTGAGGACAGGTGTTACCTTGAAGATGACACTGATGTGGTCTCCCTGAGGGTCCAGGTTCTGAAAGGACAGCCTCAGAGGGACAGCGTTGGAGTTGAAGAAGGAACACAACTGAAACCAAAGAGATCCATCAAAGGATGAATGAAGTTACAGAACAAATTCAAAAAATCTGTGAGCTGTCACCAGGTTTCAACTAGAGTTCAGGTTGTGTTCTGGGTACCTGATAGGACAACCCTCAGATCAGGTCTGTGGGTGTCCAGGTGAGACTTACTTGGATGTTGATTCCTGCAACAAGCAGCGCCGGGTTCAGAGGAAGTCTGCAGCTGCTGTTCACGATGAAGAACTGCTTCATGTCCTCCAGACTGTCCCTGAGGACAGACTGCACAAACACAGTCAGGGTCAGTGTCTGCTGGACATTAGAGACCGTACAGTCCTGCTTCCACTCAAACCCACCTGCCTGATGGAGGGCGTGGCCTCCCGGACTCTCTGAGCCACCTTGGTGAGGATGGAGACGAGCCAGCACTGACGATCAAACTCGTCTCTCAGAGCCCGGCCAGCGCAGCAGAGCAGAGCGGCCAGCAGGTGCTGGTACCGAGCGCTGAACTGACTGTCCTGCAGGTTGTCCTTCAGCAGCCTGACAGGAGGACACAGGCAGGAAAACAGGTTGCTGCCGGTTCGTCCATTAAACAAACACAAGAAGAAGAACCAATCACCAGAAGAGGTAGTGAGCGATCCGAACGTCCCCGATGGCTCTCCGTAGGAGGAAGCGCACCAGAGAGCTGTCCAGGTAACACTCGTACTTCAGCGCCTGCGACACAGAGCACAGGAGGTTTTCAACAGTTCACCTGTGCTCCACTTCATCCTGCAGTCTCACCTGCACCAGCTGGGGCAGGAAGTCCAGCAGCTCTGGGTCAGAGATGGAGTCCATCCACTGGACCGCTGTCCTCCTCAGCTCCTGGTCCGGGAACCTGAGACACAGTTCACATGGTCTGACCTTTGACCTCCGACCCCCCGATCAAGCTGCTGCCCCCGAGACCTGAACAAGAGGAACCTACGAGGCGTGTAACAGTCCCAGAGCATCCAGGTGACTCAGACACGCCCACTGACGCAGCAGAGCGTAGATCTCAGGTAAACAAGCCCACTGCCAGCAGGGGGCGCTGGCGAGGACCAGAGGCAGCGCTGCGCTTTCTGACTGACAAAAAGCTTTCTTCTCCCACAGCAAACGTTTGTCGTCTGATGTCAGCCTGCCGAAAAACACAGGAAGTACAGGTGAAACACAGGAAGTACAGGTGAAACACATGGTAAATACAGGTGAAACACAGGAAGTACAGGTGAAACACAGGAAGTACAGGTGAAACACAGGAAGTACAGGTGAAACACAGGAAGTACAGGTG